GAAGTGACGGGCTAAGAAGGCACGCGAGACTGGAGCGCCATGGTCTTCCCCACTGTCCTGGCCTTTTGGTGTGGGAGGGGGTCCCCTCTGTGCTGCCACTGCAGTTCCGCGTTATTGCCGTAAAAAAGACAATTCAGACATGCTTTCCGCACCTTTGCTGGCATAATTAAAGGCACTCGTGATGGTCTTTTCACATTGCGTTTGTTGCTTAGAAGAGACTTGTTCCGCATGGACGTGGGCACAGCGCGGTGTGCCAGGGCAAACGGCAGGATGTGCGCTTGAGAACGTGGCACGCAGAGCCACTGGCGTCCTTTGGAGTGAGGCCCCCCTCATTCCCCTTTGGTGGCACGGCAACGCCGTGTCGGCTTTGCAACAGCCGGGAGAGTGCGGACGGTATCTCAGGACAAAGCCAAAGCAATTAAAACGGGAGACGGGATGGGGAGCTTCCTGCCACTGGAATAATCGGAGTAGGAGAGGAGGCAGGCCTTTAATCCTTCGATTTCACATTCTTTGGCCTGTGGGCAAAACTGGGAGGTCTCTGGATCAAAGGCTTTTTCAGCATAAGTGGGGAATTCCAGCCCCTGTGCAGCAGGGACTTCGGCAGTGTTCACTCCGCACACGAGCTTTCCTTGTGCTTAGATGGGTGGATGTATTTTACTTTGTGTTTTAATTCCACAGAATAAAGGCTTTTTTGTTGCTTTAGATGTAGGCGCAAGTGCTTAAGGAAGAGTCCTATGGCGGGCTGGGGGAATCCCAAGACACCAGGTGGGCTGTCTCTTTGGAAGACTGCAAAATGCATATACAGAGGGAGGGGAGCGTGGGCTAACTTTAGTTCTCTTTTACCGGGAAGCGATGGAGCGCTTGTTCTTTACGGCAGAGTTATTTCTTTTGAGGCACCTGCAGTTTGGATAGAAAAGCCCTTAAAACCTGGGACCATCCACAAGACGGAAGGCTGCGAGGCCTCAGCGGAGCTCTGGGATCTGTGGTGTGTGGCGGAAGCTCTTGTGGATTTCTGCCTGACGGAGACGCCGTCTGGGTTGGCGCTTTCCGCAGCGCTCCTGAGAGGTTCTGCTCTCCAAAGGGCTTGGCATGTTGAAACTTGCCCTTCCACGCCTTTCTGCCCAGCGCTTCTCCTCACCCCAGCTTGGGCGTGTGCTTTGGTGCTTTGCTGGAGCGTTCTGGTTGCTGACACAGCCGTTCAACTAAATACTGGTTGGCTCAGATGGCGGGTATCATTGGGACGGTTTGTGGCTTGCACGCTGCACGGCAGTCCACCTCTTGCTGACGCGCAGAGCGAGTGGGGCTGCATTTTTGTACAAGCCCAGCTCACTTTAAAGCCGAGCGGGCTGGCGGAGCGCCGCTGGGACGGGGAGACCCGCAGCTGCCTTTTCGGCTACCTTTCAGTGTTCTGTTCAGGCAAGAGGGGGGACTTGGAAGGCAGCGTAAACTGCATGGCCGCTGGGAGAAGCCCACCGTGCAACTTTCGACTTCATTCTCCACTAAACCGCATGGGTCTTTTACGCTCGGGGGCCCCATTCTCCATCACACAGCCACCCCATTAGAGGAGGATATCCACAGTAAATTCATAAGCGCATTTAACGTCTGAGCACTTACTGCAAGAAATACAGAGTGAGGAACAACTGTCTTTAAATGCCACCCCACAAGGAATTGAGAAGTGAATTCACTTACTTTCTCACGTGATGGTGGTTGAGGGGGGCAGGGAAGGAATGCCAAGTTCTAAGCCGTTCTGAGAGTTCCTTGATTGGATTCATTTTAGTTACTTATTTAAAAGTTCGAAATGGTGCGACATGAGTGATAGAAAAGAAATACCCCCACAGCAGGGGAGCTAAATTCCAAATCAGTGGTGCTTAAGCAGGGATCTCTTTGGTATTAAGCGGTCTTCCTCTTAGATGTGTAGACTGCAGCTCCCATGATGCCCAGCCAGCATAATGGGAGTTGAAATCCAACACATCTGGAGATTCGGGAATTCTCCTCGAAAGTAACGTGGCTTGAATGATGAGGTGATGATAAGAACTAGCTCAGTTCCTTCTGATTTAGGCTGAAACCTGCACAGCCGTTCAGCCACAACAGGAGGCTCCCATGTCTCCCAATCCGTTCGTTTACCCCAGAACAAACTCAAACATCACGCTGAGGCAAAGTGGGGCTCCCTGCATGCTTCCCCGCCGATTTTGTGGTCCATAATGCCACTTTTCCTTCCATTGGAAGAATCTGGTCTTGGTGCATCTTATTTTATGAATCCAGTACTCCCATTAAACGTGAAATACGGGCTTGCTATCATAGGTCTAGCTGCCCAGAAGAGAGATTCTCTTCTCTGTCCACTTGTCTCTCCTCTCTTCTAAATGGCATAATTTATGGCCATTTGGGGAACCATAAATGACTTAAACCTGCCCGTAGGCCCTTCCCCTTCCCAGTTCTGCCCCCCGTTAATCGAGAGGCAGCCCTTTGCATTCCTTATCAAATGGCTCCAGATGGCTCCGTTAAATCCATTGTGACAGGGCTGTGGACTTAGCTGGGGTTTATACCATGGATAATCTTCAGCCGTCTGCACCGCCTGGACCTCCCCACCTGTTTTTCCCTAGGCCCCGGGGTCATGGCCTTCGGAAGGATGCTGGCCAGATGGCCAGTAGCTGGGCATCCAGTCAGCGTGTCTTTGCCTTCGAGAACAGCAAAACTGGACGGCAACCGGGCTCGTCCCGGACGTCCTTAGGGAGACAGTGGTGCGCTGGCCGTCTCTGGAGCCTCTCCGAGGTTTTCGCTTTCCCGTTTGTAGCCCACCCAGGAGCCGAGTGGCTAATGGACAGTGGTTTATCAAGAGGCTGAAAGTCACTAGGTGGGGCTCCCTGGAAGGGAAGTGGGACCAGAACTTGGTGTGTGCCTGTTGGCCTGCATTTCAAGCCATTCTCCAAAGTGACTTGGGAGGGAACTACGGCACTCGTGTAAAAAAAGCGAATGGTGGACCAGAACTGTGCCACTTCGTTTATTCTAATCCCAGAATGCAGAATTGGTTATTGCCCATGTACCTGTACACCCCAAGTAAGATGCAGAATCCTGGCTAGGGATGCTGCAGAATTTAAAAAAAAAAAAAGCTATGAACAAGCCTGGGGAAAATGCCTTTGGATCCCCAGGGAAACAGCAAGAAGTGAAATCAGTTTTGGTGTGAAAATAATGTTAACAATCTGCACTGAGACGAGTGCGAGAAATTTTGAACTGCCCTTATGCACCCTCATATTTGTTTGACTTTAAAAAAAACGTCTGGTCAAAATGTTGCTCTGGTCCCCGTTGGTTGAAAGTGCAGCTGGAATCTGCGTGGTGCTGTGCCTTTGAAGCCGCTGTTTCCCATCTGTGTGTCTTTCTACCACCTGCTTTTTTGGTGTGTGTTCCTGCACACGTGTGCGGGCGCGCGCACACGCCTGCGTCTGGACATCGGACCTTTGGCCGCACATCAGCCAGTGCTGGACTGTGAGGGGGTGTCTCCCAGCACCACCCCCTTCAGCCCCGTCCCTGTCCAGGTTCCGCATCTTATCGGCACGGTGCTTGCTAAAAACAGAATGCGCATGCAACAGCGCCAGGTTTGTTCAGTACTCAAATATTGGGCTTCGCGTCAGCCGTGCTGATAGGACAACTCGGCATGGTGAGGAGAGGGCAGGCAGGTGGCCCACCGTTCGTGCCGGGCTGAAATACAGCGAGGTAAATCCACCCTGTAGCAAAGAAGTGTTTAAACAAGAGCCGGCTGGAATTCTGGGGAAGACAGTCGTGGTTGGGCCGGTGGCGTTCCAGCGCTTGCCGACACGCTTGCAAAGGTTTGTCTGATTTTGGAAAAAGTCGAGGGAGCCGGCTCGGTGCTTTGAGCCTCCTCCTGCCCACGGCAACGAAACCCAGCCATACGAAGTCTTGCAGGCAGCCCAGCCCTTCCTGGGGAGGGGGGAATTTCGGCCCAGCCGCATCCTGAGAAGGGTTTGAACTCACAAGTGGAGGTACCAAACTTCTTGCAGCAGATAATTTTTATGGAATTCCAGTGGCAAAAATATCCCATTTGTGCGCATTTAAGAAATACTACCCAAGTTCCCCACAGAGTTACAGAGTGTTCCTTTGGGCCTCCGGTTCCCCTCACGTGATAAGGTTAGGAAGCGCCAGTCTGGTTGGTGGTAAAACGCAGTTTATTTTGTCAGCCAAAGCTGTGCCCTGGCGAATCTGGCAGGGATGCGCACATTCAGTCTGGACAGCGAACCGCCTTTTGCTGCAGCCCAAAAGCAGAACCCCGACTGCCCCGCGGTGCTGTGCCGGGGCTTGTGGGCGCGGCTGAGTCCTTTTGGCCGTACTGGGGTGGCACCCGATCCTCTTGGCCGTTGAGGTGCGGCAGCCGCCTCTGGAATTGCGTTCTGTGTATTTTGTAGTGAGCCCATCCCCGGAGGTCCCCCCGAGCTGCTTTTTCTGTGAAAGATAAAGTGCGTCGACGCAGTTCCAAATCCAGGTCAATTCTGCTTGCAAAATCTTGGCTCACCAAAACCCCTGTGAGCCAAGAAACGCAATGAGCCTGGAGAGGTTTTCCAGTTTGGCCGTAATTCAAAATTTGGCAGGTTGGTTTGGCTCTGGCAGAGGGGAGAATGTTTGCGTGACAAAATAACACTGCTCTAGAGCAGGGCTCCTCAGACGTTTTCAGTAGGGGGCTAGTTGAGAGGCGGCGGCTACACGCACGGGCCGGTGGGGGGGTGCCTGGGCACGCGGGCCGGCGTTGGCCTTGTGCACGCACCGCGGCGACTCGCTCGCTCAGAGATCTCCCAGCGAGCCCAAAACCGTCTCCAAGTGAGCAAGCCACCGCCTCCCGCGCACGGTGAGTGCATGTGCGGGTGGCAGCACGGGCCGGATGAAAGGGCGTGACGGGCCGGATCCGTCCCGCGGGCCACAGTTTGAGGACCCATGCTCCAGAGCACCGATCCGAAGAGTGCGATTGTAACGGTCTTTCGCTTTCTCTTGAACAGTATTCAGGTTTCCAGCAAACTGCGGACAAGTGCTTCATTTGTGGACACCTCATAATGGAAATGGTAAGGGGACGGGGTTCGTTCACAAGTGCATTTGGGCACCGCGGGCGGCTTTCTCCCTCCCTGACTTCACTCAGAAGGATTTGCCTGGGGCCATCTCACGTTTTGTGTCATAACCCTGAACTGCAGTGGATTTCAGTGGCATTGCTGCCACTAGGTGGACCCAGGGGGCTGGACGCTTACCACGGCACGAAGGTTGAGGCGTCTCCAGCAAAGCGGCACCTGTTGGTTGGACCCAGGGTGGCTGTGACACGCCTCCGAGCGCTCTGGCGCAGCTCCCTCCGGAAGTCGCGTTCAGGTGTGCAGAGCCTCCAGTCGTGGGCAGCACCTCAGCTGCTTCTGGGAGGCCCCAGGGCTTGCTGGAGAGCGTATTGCAATTTGCAGCATCATGAAGGCCAAAGAGCACCAGAACAGCTCCGGGAGATGGTTGCAGCAGGGAGGGTTAGACTGCCCAAAGCTGCCCAAATTGGAGTCAGCCCTGGAGCACCATCAAGAGGGCATTAGGAAAGCAACTGAGCAGACTGCAGAGGAGCCGGAGGCCTGGCAGCCGAGACGGGAGAGACTGTCCCAGCGTCCCCTGATGCCCCTCAGAGCCGGGTGCAACAGTGCAGTGGAAGCCGTGGTGGAAGAGCACCTTTCCACTCCTCCATCTCAAGTTTGGTGCTTGAGAAAGGGCACGTGGGAAGCAGACGAGCAAAAAGATGTGCCGGTGAGCGCAAAGCTGGACTCTGGGCCCCCGGCCCCATTGTGTGATGCACAGCCAGGGGTGGCTGGGTGCCGTCCGGGCGCCTGCCCTCAAAACGGTCTGTCTGCCTCCCTGTGTTTCGAACCGGCTTTTGCGTTTGCATTTATCTGGTCCATGTGTGCTTCTGTGTGCATGGAAGCAGCCCCTTGTCTTCTCTGATTGCTTCCTAATTTGTAAAAAGCTCCCGCACCTGACAAGTACAGGGGGCTTGGAGGATGGCTGCTTTAGGATTTCCTTGGAAAAGGAAATTTGATCAAAGGACAGAACAGGGAAATGAGATTTACTCGGTGAGGAAGGCAATGCCAAAGTTGCCTTCCAGCCTGGCGCCCTCCGGAGGGACCAGTCTGCCAACTCCCGTCTGGGGCAAGATGGCCGTCGGGGTCCGTCCCGGGGGGCAGCCCACGCGTCGTTCCGGCACCCCAAGGAAGAGAAGGGATTTCCCCAAGCCCGCGCCTCCTTCACATCTGTTGTGGGAACAAAACTGCTGGTGCGCGGGAGATCTTCCTCGCAGGGGAACTCCGCCCGCGTGGGACGCGACGGCTGGACCGTGTGGTTCTCTTGCAGATCCTGCAGGCGCTCGGGAAGTCCTACCACCCCGGCTGCTTCCGCTGCGTGGTGTGCAGCGAGTGCCTGGACGGCGTCCCCTTCACCGTCGATGTGGAGAACAACATCTACTGCGTCAAGGACTACCACACGTGAGTGCGCCGAGCCCCGCGGACGCGGGCACGAGGGCCGGCCGGCGCGAGGCAGGGCAGGGATGGCGCTGCTGGCAGGACGCCGCCTCCGGTGCGCAGCCCGCCCTCTGCCGGGATGAGAGTAGAAAGGAGCCGCTGAAGGAGACGGCCGCTTCTCCGTTGTCAGCGTTGCTCTCGCCATTGTCCGCAGCCAGAAAGCATTTGGAACATTCGGGGGATCCGTTCGCTGCCTCTCGGCTTTTGTCCAAGGAAAATCCCGGGAAACGCGTCGCCGGCAGGCCGCGTTGGCCTGAAGGGCCCCCGCCTTGGCGAAGGCCGCGTTCAGTGGGGGGAATGGGGAGGGCATGTGGGAGGGGCTGCTGGAGCAGAGTCTCTCTTCAGTATCCAGGGCATCCCACCTGGAGCATGCTGGGAGTTGTGGTCCCGTGCATTTGGGGAGGCCTGGGTTAGAGGACGCCTAGGCAGCTTTGCTCTCCAGGGAAGGGGCTTCCTGTCTGGGGAAGGGAGAGAGCGCATGGCTTGCGCCAGCCTTGGAAATGACCTCCAGCTCCAGCCGCACTGCAGATGCCACCCCGCTCTGCCCTGCTCTGCACCCCTGCTCTCTCTCTCTCTCTCTTTCCTCCAACAAAAGTGTAACCGGTTTTCTCTTCCAACCAGGGTGTTCGCCCCGAAGTGTGCGTCCTGCAACCAGCCCATTTTGCCGGCCCAGGTAGGCCACCTTGGAGCGCGCCCAGAGCTTTGCCTCGATGCTGCGGCCGCTTCGCTGCGCTCCCCCTGCAGAGGCCTGAGAGGCAGGCGCACGGATGTCTCTTGCGGGGGCAGAGCTGTTAGTGCAGAATTAAGGTGTCCGTTAATTCAGAGAGCCCCAGACTGTGGCCGGAGGATCGCGTTCTTATCACCACCTTCGATCACACAGAGCACGGGGGTTTCTTCGCAACATTTCAACACCATTCCGCATCCAAATGCATTCTGGAGCGGAATACCATGCACCACATTCATTTATTTGTTTATTTGATTTGTTAAAAGGCTACCCATCAGCATCACACTCTCCGTGTGGCCATTACCATAAAATTACAAATAGGTAATATAAATAAAATAATCCAATTCAAATACAAAAGGTAAAGTGACATCGGCATAATCAACAAGAATAAAACTGAAGTTAGTAAATTAAAATAAGTGCAAACCGGTGCAGAAACGATCTTCGTGGTGCCCTAGGTGCTCCAGAAAAGAAAAGTTGCAGTCAGGCACCTGAAACTCAGCAGAATAGAACATTAAAATGTGAAAACAGTTTTTTTTAAAAAAGCAGTGCCTGGCCAACCAAGGAAGGGGCTTCTTGAAATAAAAGTGCATTCATTCATTCATTCATTCATTCATTCATTCAAAACGTTTCTGTACCGTCCCTTCACAGATGTCTCGGGACGGTTTACAACACCATGAATAAAATAGAATAAAAATAGCAATAAGAGTAGGAGCTGCCTGGCATCCACTGTTAAATATAAAGCCACCAAGTAAAACAAATGAGCGGTAAAAATATTGGGAGAGCAAAGATGTCTCCCGGAGGTCAGCCGGGGCCACGCCGGGAAGGGCTGCTCCTGCAAACTCTGGCCAGGCGCACACCCCTGTGGGGTGACCAGGACGTGCTACCCAGCGCTGGGCAGGTTGCGCTCCCGGGCATCCTGGTCCCAGGTGGCTGAAGGCTTTATACGCTGGTAGCACAGCCCTTGAGCAGGGCGGGCCCCGTGGCGAGCAGGCAGCCGGGGCAGCTCCCATGGGGAAGGGTCGGGAACGACCCCGGCATCTGCCCCGGCCCCGCAAAGCGCGAGCAAGTCTCCGTAGCCTGGTCTTGAGGTTGCGAGTGCCCACGAAGCGAGCCCGAGGGGGGCCCCCGTGGCCCAGGGCCTCCGCGAAGGCGCTCCTCTGGGATGGGGTGGGATGGGATGGGATGGGATGGGATGGGATGGGATGGGATGGGA